ATGAATGTCCAGGCTTTGCTGAGCTGCTGCTCCCCATACTGCTGCAGCGCCCCTCGCAGAAAGCACTCAGCCACACGCTGTGTGCCCAGTCCAACCTCCACAAAGTGAACAGCCTGCTCCTTGTGGAGCTCCAGGGCCTGAGTGAAATCCTCCAGAGCTGATCCTTCTCTGGAGCAGAGCACCAGGCTGCGACCTCGCCGACACAAGTCCTGCGCCCACACGTGAGGTTCGTCGGAGCAGCTGGAGTTGGATCCAGTGTGTTTCTGGATAACTGTGTCCAGGTCAGTGATGGCTCGCTCGTGTAAGCCCAGCTGAGCGAGGCAGGCCGCCCGCTGGCGCAGATACTGGGGTCTGTGTTCGCCCGCTGCCTTGACTGCTACAGTGAGCAGAGTGAGAGCTTGATCCCAGTGACCAGCTGATGATACAGTGTTGGCCTCTAGTGCTGCTGCCTGTCACAACATCAACTCCTAACAATTAATGTTGTGAGTATGGAATGTTAAAAATTAAGTAACAGTATATATGATAAAATAAGAATGAAAATTACTATTATGACAATGTGATACAGTTGCTTATTTTTTTTAATTAAATCCAACTAGATCCACATGAAGGTAGAACTATAATACAAAAATAGTTGAAAAAATGATAAAATATATTACACATTTAAAGAAAAATCTTTCTGAAAAAGTTTTAACTATTTTAACTATTTTTAACCATATTATATTATTCTAATGAATTTGGCAAAATTATGATTTTCTCTTGTTAACATGTATTAAAAGACATACAATATTAAGCTACTTGTATTACTGTTCCATTACTGCCACCTACTGTGGGAGATTTTTGACGGTTACAAAACATTCTAATATCTTGCAAAAAAAGGAAATGAAAACAAGTATCCACAGAGGCAGATTCTCTGTGAACCAATCCACATCAACCTTTTGCCATTTAAAATGATTAAAGAAATGACTTTGGTGGTGTATGGTTTGTTTTTGTTGGTGCTTTTGCCACTTATTCTACAGATCCCTATAATCTGGGAATTCAGCTGTGGGACCTACCTTTGCGATGTGTTTGCGCTGATTAAATGGGATCAGGGCCAGCAGAAAGTCCAGACTGGCTGGATCTCGCTCTGTCACTTTGCTGAGCCTGCAGGCTGTGCTGCAGTATTTCTGTTGCCAGGCCTCCAACACACCAAGCCTGGCCTGAGCTGCTGCATCCCTTGGCTCCTGGCCAAACACCTGGCACAGATGAGTACTGGCTGCTTTGATTTCACCTGAAGCAGAATGGACCATAACAGCCGGGGTGAGACCACTGTAAACATGTGGTATTTACATTATTTATCATAATCCTCGACCACGGCTCTCACCTTTGGCTACGAGGATGTCCACGTAGAGGAGATGCCATTTGGGTTCTTTACACTCAGTTCTCAGTAGAGCTGCACCTATAAGAAAAGCATGTCTTAGCTCTTCTTCCTGACAGGGGGCAGCGTTTGAGACGAGGCTGGCAGACAGATTGGTCCGACATGATTGATGCAGCCAATCACAGACCAGTTTCCGTGCCTTGTCCTTGAGTGACAGCAGGTTTTTGATGACTATGTCAGAGTTTATGTGCAGTGCTGACAGGATGTCTTGAGTGCATTCCTGTGATAGAAAAGACAAAATGTAACAACCCCCGGATTCTAACCCTTTTGTTGAAATATTTTTTGTAAGGTCATTTCTCTCTTCTCTGTCATTTACAAGGAAGTCCATTTTTTCACTGTTAAATCCCCTGATGTAGCATGATATTTACCTTTTGTTGATTCAGCATGAGATAGGTGAAGCCTCTTCCACAGAGGGCGTGGACATGTTTAGGGTGATCCTTCAGAATGGCACTGTAATCAAAGATGGCTGTCTTCCGTTGGCCGAGCAGGGCGTAGCACCGCGCTCTTTCCAGCAAGGACTCTAATGCCTCGCCACCTAAAAACAAAGTCATGGGTATACATGGGTCACATTTTAATTGTGTGTGATAGGATACATTTAAAAGCACAAAGTGTGGATGGGGGTACCTTGATATTTATAGCTTAAAATAACATCTGTGTGGCATGTAATTTAAGTTTTTTTTTGCATACACTGTAGTTATTTAAGATCAGTATTGTCAACATTGTAATGGAATATGTGACCTTAGCAGTTATAAAGGGTTGTTATCTTGTATTTTTCTTTTTAATATGCTCAAAATATCATTTCAAATGGTATGCAACACTACCAGGTTACAAGTGATTTCCTGTAAGGAAGCAATTTACAGTATGTTTGTGTATAATGTTGACAGCATGGACTCACTCTTCCCCATTAGTTGCTCTGTATAACCTCAAGACACCTCTATCGTACTAAATCAGTCAAGACAAGACAAGTTAACTTAGGGTTAAAGTCAGGGTTACCAGATGCCATGATTGCGATGGAGAGGTAAGCCACAGCCTCTCTGATGGAGCTCTCCTCTTTTGAGACTTCCAGGATACGTTTGGCAGCAGAGTAGCAGTGCCCATGCAACAGCGCTCGATCCTTCTGTTGCGCCACCACCAAAAGTGAGTGTAGGCAGCTGGTGTCCCCGCACTGAATGAGCTTTTTTAGAAGCTGCAAAGAGAAAATGATTGACATAAAAATCCTTGTTCACTGATGGGTTAAAAAACAAGCATTTTTTTTTATTTGCCATTTCCTGAAAATAAAAAACAATAAATACCTGATTGGTGTCGTACAGAAAGCCTCTGTGAAGCTGCAGCAGGGCGAGGCGGGCAAGAACCGGTGCCCGAGGACAGGTTGGGCCAACAGAGAGGAGTAGCCGGTAGGCCTCCTCCACTCTACTAAGTTGGTACAAGGCATCTGCCGCAAGTGTCTGAGGACCGTCATCCCCTGGCTGGAGCTCCATTAGTAGCACGGCCAAGGAATGGACTCCAGCAGGCGTGCTAATGCAAAGATGAAGCAAGTACGTGTGAAACATGTTCGGGTTAATGTTATAATGGATGAGTGTTTTGTTTCTAGGACATCAGCAATAGGTACGGGTGTTACCAAGCTGTGCCGGTGCTAAAGGTCATACCCTGCTCTGTGGGCGTCTCTTTTTGATGGAACAGGTTGCTGAGCTTCCTGCTTGAGCTGCTGGGAGTCTTCTGATGAGATGCCCTTGGATCCGGTCTCTCTGGTACCTTCCAGTATGACTCGTCCCTGCTCCACTAAGACAGTGAACAGCAGCCCTCGACAGTTCCATGGAACCAGGCAGCGAACGGTCAGTGCTGTTTCTTGAGGCTGCAGCTGACTTGCTGTCACATAGTCTAGAGCTGTGAGATAGTTAAAGCCACTCATCATGCGCAGCAGCCCCCTGCCACACAGTGCCCGCACACAGCTTGATGGGTGAGGTGCACTGTGTTCAATCACTGCCTGGAAGTCTTCTAACGCCCCTTTATGGTCATCACAAAGCAGTCTTGCATATCCACGGAGAACCTGCACTGTGTTTTGATAGCTTTGTTGACCACTTGCAGCAGCCAGCTGGCTACAGATGGACAGGGCCTCCTTATGTTCCCCTCTTAGCAGAAGACAGTCTGCCAGTCTCACCCGAAGCTCTCTACCTCCTCCATCTGGCTCCAGATGGCAAAGGGTCCGTAACTGTGTGATGACAGGGTCCAAGAGTTCAACTCCTTCGGTGGACCGAAGGTCTGGACGGATGAGGACCCTCTCCCTGAAACCACATAGGCCTTTCTCCGCCTGCTGACGCAGATGACTGCGAGCAGCCAATCCTGTACCTTGGTCTGCGAAGAGCTTTTGAAAACAAACTCGGGCTGTGGCAGGGTGGATCTCAAATGCCTCCCCGAGGTCATAACATGCTTCTGGAGTGCGTCCACCTGCTGAAAACCAGGCGGCCGCTCGACTTGTCAGGAGTCGAGCTTTCTTCTTGAGACTGTCTTTGACAGTCCGGTCAGTTCTGTGATCTGAAGGTTTCTGCAAATGATCCTGGTTCAGGAGGGTAGTGTACAATTCAGAGCTTTGCACAAAATCACTTGTCACCAACAAATACGCAGCCTGAAGTTCCAGCACTTCACTGTTATCTGGGGAGATACCCAACAGGAAGTCAAAAATTATGGGAGTGCTCGCTGAAGTTAGCACGTTAGTCTGCTTTGTTATTACAGTGGGTGAGCCGTCAAACCTCAGAGAAGGATAGATGTGTTGTATTTGATGGATGAAGGCCACTACTATTTTGGACACGTGCTGAGCCTGTCTACTTTTAACTAGCGTGACTATTTCAGATTTGTTGCCTTTGTAAGCCTGCAGGTAGAGACTCAAACCTTTAACACTGTGAGGCTCTGCCAACAAACAGGCCAGAGCACGTGTTATTTCCAAAACCGAGCGAGTCGCCCCTTCCGGGCTGGAGTTCCTTTTGCCTTCAAGCAGAGCTGTGCATCTAGCAAAAATCTCCTCACAGCCATGTCCACCATTCTGTAGGAGAGACTCCATTTTAAAAATAGTGGCTGACAGATTGTTGGGACAAAGTGTGGACAGAAAAACAGCAGCCAAGCCTTTGTTAAGACCCTCAGTAGTCTGGTTTTCCCTGTGATTGTCCAACCAGTTTTCAAGGGTAGCGATCACACTGGACAGACAGGGCTCCTCCAACTTCCGCATGTGCGACATCGCGGAGGCAGCATGGGTTCTGAAGGCGGATATGTAGAGAGAGGTGGCCCTCCCCAGCTCCCCAACCTCCAGGAACTTATCTGCGTCCTCACATATCCCGGACACATTGACCTCGGGTCGAACAAGAGCCTTCATGATGAGGCAGCTGGACGTGTGTAGCGATTCTCCTCACCTGTTTAGAGTGAAAACAATGTTTCTTTCATCTTATTTTATAACTTTTAACAGCAAGAAAGGATCATTCGTTTGTAATAAGATTGAAAAGGAAACACACTGTGTAACTGGGTTAAACCACTGGGAAAGTGAAGTCAAGCTGCAAACACCCCAATGTTTTGGGCTCATCCCTTCTTTATGAGTTGCCAGAGCAACATACAACATTTAGTTCTGTGCAATTTAGTGCTCACCAGGTTCCTTTTCTGACCCAACTTATCTGGAACTAAGTCACTTGGTGCAATTAAACATGGAACCTTCAGAACCCAGGCCAAGGATCTATTGGTGCACTCCAGACTTTTACCAAGTTAGATATGTGTTCTTGTTTAAATTAAACAATTTCAATAGTTAAAATCAATTAATACTTTTTTTTCCCTTTAGCTTATGTCACTACAAAAAAATCAAATGATGATCAATGCTTTGCTCCTCGTAGCTTTGCTCCTTTACTCCTGCCCTCTGGTTTCTTCCTCTTCCTTTTCCCCTTCATTCTCTTCCAGCTAAACTAGAGAATAAAGTCTGAATTCCTGACGTCTAAATAGGAAAACAAACGTAGCTTATTTTTTGACTGCCCCAAGAAGAGAAAACCCTTGTTGGTAATTCAATAGCTGTGGGTTTGAAGTTACCAGGACAACAGAGTGTGTCAAACCACAGTGTAAGTCATTTTGTTCTTTCGACTGCGTCGGGTAGAAGGAAAGGGAGAAAAAAAAAGAGTGGAGGAAGGAACAAAAAAAAATATATATTTACCACATGTCTGTTTCCTTCTCAGTGCAGGTGCTTCTGTGCTCCTGTCTCAAGTCTGTCCTCTCTGAGTGAGATACCGTCGCTAAGTAAGAGAACACAGGCCCTGCTGCCATGGCAACCAACAACGCTGTCAGCCTGTGTTATTTGTTCAAAGGTTGGGACATTTTAGCCCCAAGCAGCCTAAATTCCGTGGGAAGTGTTGGTAGTGTAAAAATAAGGTGTGAATCATCAGCTCAGTGAAGTCAAATTCTGATCGAACATTTGAACTTTTTCTTAAATAATAATGATAAAACTAGGAAAAGTTGTGTACCTAAAAGTTGATATAAAAATACCTCAAATATGGCTTGAATTGGGTAAAGATTTTAAAGTGGTACGTGAAATGGCAAAAATATAAAAATATAAAATTAGAATGATAGAAAAAGTAAAATTCAGCCAAAGAAAAAAATAATAATAATAAAAACAACATATAAAGTAAAATATAAATATTTGGTGTATATTTATTGGTTACGCATATATATTTATATCAGTACTCGTTATATTTTAGATATTTAAGCAGTGCCACTTGCTGTAAACAGGCATTTTATTTCCTTTTTTATATATAATAGATGAGGCTTTACGTTAAATTTATACGGCAGCTATTCAGACAGGCAAGACTCCCATCTAGTGGCTGAAAGGTTTATTAATACAAGTCTCCACACAACGCGTTTGGTATTTCTGAGCCATCAGTGGTAACATTCTCAACTACTGACATACAAAAAAGCAACACTAATCAAAAAAATAACAAAACAAAAAATGTCTTCTATTTACATATACAGGCAGGCCAAAAAAGATGAACCCGCCCAAGTCTCAAATTGAGATAAGACGACACCGCCATCAATTTAGATGGAAATATGTGTGGTGAGGAAAAACCTAACCGACTGTACTTGTTGTGAAGGTATTTTGCTTGGTTTCTTTGTGCGGCAGTGTAGCATTAAGACTAAAGAGAGGATTGAGATCTGAACAAGAGGTATTGTGTATTTCAGGAGGAGGAAGGAAAGAAAACTTTTAGCAATCACGCTAAAACCACAGCACTAGAAGGAGACACTCACACATGATGGGGTGTTGTCTGGTTGGATTTAAACGTTATTTCTGACAGTGTTTTTTTCCTTTTTGTCCTCTTGTAAGTTTGTTTTAATTTTTTATTATAATTATTCCTCAATTATCAGGAATAAGAAGCTCATACGGCGTCATCTCAATCAGTGCTTCCCAACCTTTTTTGAGTCACAGCATATATTTTATTAGAAAAATCCCATAGATTATTAACAATTTACTTACTCTGTGAAACCTGATTAGTTGAACACTGATATATAGTACTCACAGGAATTGAAGAAAGATCTTATCCACTGGTCTCTCTTTTTTAAATAAGTAGTGGTTTTCAGACTAATCAAGTGTAAAAGGATAATTTTCCAGGGTACACGTAACGATCTCTCATGGCACACTAAGGTGCAGCAGCATGGAGGTTGGGAATCACTGGTTTAGAATAAACTGTTAAAAGCATGTGTTTTTGTATAAAATCATAAAAAGTCATAAGCTTAAATGGTATGGACCAGTCAGTGGACGCATACAGATACAGTCCTCTTTTCTCTATCCTTTACTGGGTTGTTGGTTTTTTTCTGTGTGAATATTTTACCTAGTAATGATATTAAAAAAGGAAGTAAGTGCACGTGTGGGGCTAACAGTGTGGGAATGGGCGCTCAGCTCATGTATGTATGTGAATAATCCTTTTTTTATGTTTGTTTCCCTCTGTTTAAAGACTTTGTAGAGTTTAAAGCCATTTTAAAGTTTTCTTTTTTGTGTGTGTGCGTTACTTTCTGCATTGTAAAGTAATATGTGAAGTACAGTAATTGCTAGGTTTGAAATGTACATTTTATATTTGTGTTGTTTTCTAAAAACAATTGGTGGAAATACACAAAATAGGTTATATAGAATATACAAAAAATAACCCTGTCTCATTAGGATTCTGGACCAGAACAAAAACAGTATTTAAAGAGGACTTCCTCGTGTTGATGTTCATATTTTACCTTTATGTGATAAAGTGTCTAAAAAACAAGTGTTTGTTATTGTGTAAATAACAAGACTGGGTGGAAACAATGGTATGAACAGAAAGAAAGCTAAAATACTGACACTGTCAGGGTTTCTCCTAACCTTTGTGCGAAGTTTGTCATCTTGTGCACTGGTGCTCAGGGCTCGTGGCACCAGAGTACTACGAGTTGTAGTACTCTGCATTACTTAGTTTCGGGCGACCACCTGAGCTTCTCCAGGTTTTCCTGCAGTTGCTGTGCACAGCCAGTCAAATCCATGTAGTGCAGGGCTGAGAAGACATCGTTCAAACTCGCAGTGGAGCGTTGGCTCCAAAGCCTGAGCATCAGGTACTGCTTCTCTGTGAAATTCAGGCCCAAACCGGCCTCCAGCTCCACCCGATCCAGCTGCTGGTCAGCCACAGAGAGCAGACGCAAGAACTCTTTCCACCTACGCAAGGGAACCTCCTTGATAATCTCATAGAGGATGATGGCGGGCCACTGCTGTGACGGCTCATCAAGTTTCAGAGCTGAAAACCAAAGTTGATCAAAAGACACGGTCAGTGAGGATGAACAGAAACAACAAGATAAAATCTCTGTCTGCTGATGGCCTTCTAAAGTTTAAATATCAAAAATATCAAGATCAAAAAATGCACAGCTGTAAAGGGGAATTTATATCTGGGTTTTCTATGATTTAAAAAAAAAGAAGAAGCAGGGGGCGTTTATTAAACTTAGATTTTTTTCACACTACACAAACTTATGTTGGCCCAGTGATAGAAGAGGAATATAATGATAAAGGACATACAACAACATGACAGCACAGTTAAAAATATGATGTAATGCAATAAAAAAAGTTTATATATTTGAACACATATTTAAACCTGACTCGTGTGTGTGTGTGTGCGTTTCCAAGGTGACACACATAACGGATGTTGAAAATGCAAATGTTTTCACAGTAAACTCTGAAATATTTCTTATCTGATTTGCCACTTCCCCTTGTGTTAAGTCTGATGGAGAACACATGAAAAGAAATGGCATGTGGTAACCTGTTTTCCAGCCTCCACCTCTGCTCTGTGGACCTGACCACTGATCACTGATAAGAAAAGAGCTAAACAAGCACAAATGGAAACGGTGGCTGCTCTCACTGTACATTTTATCACCTTATTTCTAAAGGCCGTCACTAGTTGTCTTATTCCAGTACTCATCTTTGTGTGTCTTCTTACCCACCAACGACTAATACCAAGCTCCTTCTCAGTGCACAGTCCCAGCTGTGTAAGAGCACTGTTTAATGACTAGTAGATTAACATCATGAAACCAACAATAAAACCCAGAATCCTTCTATTACTCTAAATATTCAGCTGTTAATCATAAATCACTTTTATCCCCTTGTCCATTTATCAGGCGTCACCGCAGCACAAGTGTGAATAATTCTTTGTCAGAGGTTTCCCTACTTGACTCAACCCAAACTAAGATTTGTGGAATTTGTGGTTTTGATCAGCATCACTCTAAAGGCAGGCAGGAGAACTACAACTGTGCCACTTAATCCCAGAGCTCAGAATACAAACAGGATTAAGAAGTAATTTTTTTGATTTGGAGTTTTCTCTTTTTCACTTCTCATACAGAATCTAATTAACTGCTCAAAACAAACAAACAAAAAATACCAAGGTCAAAGTTGGATTTCAGTGATGTGTCTTTTCATCACAGACTACTTTCGGATTTAATCTGACACTCTATGGCAAAAGCAATGAAACAGAAAAAGAGTGGGCAAAGTTAAAAAAAGAAAAAAAAGCTATTTTTATACAGAGGTTTATAGAGATCTTCATGGAGCAGATATAACAAACAAAAAGTAGAGAGAGAAAAATCGACACAAAATTTGAACCAGTCAGGTGAGGCTACACTAAACATCTTGGGTCATGGAGATATTGCCTCTGTTTGGGAGAGGGAAGAGGAATGTGGCCCAGAAGACACGTTCCCTGGAGTGAAACACTGAGGTGAGAAGTTTCATGGATGCTCAAATGCATCAAAAAAGAAAAAAAAATGAGATTGGAGATAAAATGAAAAGGAGCAAATGGGTTGAAGCAAACAGGCGAGGAACTGTCTCTGAAATGAAAGCTGATTTTTTCTTTTTTAAAGACACTTCTGAGATTCTTAGTACCAACTAGAGACTTGGCAAATCTAAAAACTTTGAAGTAATCTGAGTGGGATCAATGCCAGAAAACAATTAAATCTGTTTGTAAAATTAGAGATGGTACTTTGTTATTTTCACATGAAGGATACAGAAAAAAATCATTCTGCATTCAACCTTGATTATTCAAATTTAGTAATCAGTAGAAATTTGTATTTTTAACATTTAAAAAAAACGGACGGTGACTGGAATGCAGTATTTACTCCCTGTTCACAGTTATTTTTGTCAAGTTAGGATAAAGTAGAATCTCAATCTTGCTACACAGGGGCACTTTGAATTAAAACAAATCATCTGCTATCCGCCTCTCTTTGAATTTCTTACAACTCGATGGTTTCATCGGGCATTTTTAACACATGAACTCAAGTCAGTGATAGGTTGGAAATTTAAAGAAATTTCTGACAGCTACCTTCATGTTTTGGTGGTGGAGGAAACACGTGGGCAGCATCCTGTTGTCTGGATGGGCTATGACTGAGAGTCATCATGGGAGTTTTCTCAGATATGGTGAATGTCTGAAATGGGAAGAAGGAAGAGAAGGTCACAAAAGAAAAAGGTGTATATTTATTTATTTATTTATTTTTCCAAGCCTCAGTCAAAAGGTCACCATATGATGTTTATCTTCAAGGAATCTGAAGTTTAAATGAGAACTAAATGCCACCTTCGCCTACAGCGCAGCAAGAAATCTATGTATTTATCGTCAAAGAAAAAATGAAATTTGGATACAAACCAGTGCGGTTGGACTGCAGCCCTGTTGACTGTGGCTGTCTGTGCAGCAAAGAAAAGATAATAATCAGTCAGCTTCCTGCTAGGTCAAAGAAAAAAAGTCTTCAGAATGTACGCCTGTGTATCTGATTACTGTCAGTTTACACGGAAATATATTTATATATTTATTCGATGCATTAATTTATGTGGTGACGTTTCAGAACACATCTGTGGAAAGTGCAGATGGTGTGTTCTCGGGGATTTATTTTACCTCAATTTGTTTCTGGTGGAAAAACCTAGAACATAATTATATTACGTTTCATCAGATGCAACCTGATATTATTAATTGGATGTTACTTACTACAATAGTACACAGTGCATTGTCAAAGGCAGTGTAAGAAATCAACTATAGAAAAAAGGGGACAAATTAAATGCATGTATTTATCTGCATGGATTCTGCCCTTTACGTATATTCTCTCTCTTTTTTGTACATTGTATACAAATACCACTCATAGTAATTAATTCCAAGATTATTTTAGTCAGGATGTTAACTTTTCATATGCATAGTTTAGGTATGAAACTTTGGTCTATTAAAAAGTGTTGTGGCCTTGCAGTACCAGTGATGGCCACCAGTCCTTCAGATCAGATTAAGTATCCAGTCAATCTGCATAATTAGCACTCCTTCAGGAAGGACATGGTGCTGCAGGCTTTGTTTTTTGTTTTAAATCCTTAAAAATATTGAACTTTTAAAGCTGGAACATGTTTGGTCATGTTAATTGATGCCAGCTTATGGAGGTCGTACTAGAATGTTCTGTGTTTGTACGTGTATTTGCTTCATAACTAGTTACCCTTCAAGTCCTCTTCATGCACCTCTCCATCTCCTTTTTCGCCACCAGAGCAGGGATTACATTTCAGTTTCTGCTGATAACCGAAGCAAATGAGCACCAAAAATATGACCAGAATCATGTCAAAGAGCAGCCAGGGCATGTATGGCACTGCAAGGGACATAAAAAGTAAGTCATTTGGGATTATGTCATTACGTGTACACAAAACTGTGAAAGAAATCTCCCATTGGCCATAAAAGATTAAGCGATTGTGCTCTGACCAGGTAAACCATAGTGGGCTTTACTGACACGTAAATATTTAATAATAATAACTATAAACTAGGGGTGTCCAATAATATCGCCGACCGATATTATCAGTCAGATATTGGCATATTATCTAAGTTCTGTAAGAATCGTTATCGGTTTTTCCACCAATAATGAAAACCCAATAATGCACTGCCTGGGTTTCGCCAAATGATGTGTGCCCTAAAAATAGTTTTGGGGATAAACAGATGTATATTAAAGTGAAAGTCACTAGATGGCAGCATTGCATCTCATACAGTGGTGTTTACAGATAAATAAATAAATATTACCAGGCCTATCACGGTTGATATCAAAATATCGAAAATTAAGTGTTTGGACAATATTGGCATACCGGATTTCAGCAAAAAGTTAATATTGGACATCCCTACTAATTACACTTAACTGTTAAAAACTGCAGTCACAAGAGGATTTTCGTACTGGTTAAGGCTTGGCTTGTTGTACTTGTAGGCGTGGTTTTACTTGGAGTTGGAGTTGGAGTTGGAGTTGGAGTTGGAGTTGGAGTTGGAGTTGATAAACAGTTCTTCGTGCACTCAGGGTCATTTTGGCACTTCTCACTGAAAACAAAAAAAAAATTTGAACAAGAGCATCAATATCTTATGTTTTACATAATGTATGAAAAAGGTTAATTGTAGCCCGGACAAACAAAGGGGTTCTTTATCATCTGAAAAATATCAACAACCATTGCATCACATCCTAAAGTTTTTCGTTTTTCTTTTTTTTTGCTGTGTACTGCGATGGACTTAAAATAAAAAAAATGATAAAAGATTTTTTTTAATATTTGATTTGCTTCACTCCAAGTAATCAAATAGTATCTATTTCATATTTGATTAGTCGATTGACTGACCTTGTTGGTCTGACAATACACACAAAAAAAAGTAAAGGCAGTTTAACTTTTTTAAAAGACCTCTCACCACTTCTTTTGGTATTGATCACCATCTGAAAATGAAGAAAACAAAAACTATGAGGATGAAAAATTTGTTAAAATGTGTTACTTACTTAGTGAACACACACTCACTCTGAACACAGTCTCGAAACGCTTTATCACCTATATAGATATATCCCTCTTTACACTGACATTCTGTATCCCTCGTGGAGGTGCAGGGCTTTACCTCCACCTCATTATCTAGAGAATGGAATAAAATGTTTAAATAAAACACAGTTTCTGACTCCAGGTTAATTTCAATAGTTTTCATAATGACTTACTATAACAGCTGTTACATCTTTTGCATTTTTTCTCGTTTTCTCTGTCTTGATATGTTCGACCTTCACATGGTTTACATCCATTATTACCATCGTAATGAGATCCTAGAACCAGGTGAGAAAAGGCATCAGTTAACAATGTGTGATGGATTATTAAGGACACACTGGAAATGAAAAAAAAAATCTAAAATTACCAGAACAAAGTCGTAAAAAAAAAAAAAAAGTTAGAAGAATAGAAAAATGTAGTACAATTATGAAAAAAAGTTGTAATGTTACAAGAAAAGTCGTACATTTACAAAAAAAAATTAATAATTTATAAAAAACCTATGATTGAGATTGTGATAATGATGTGTAGCTGACGAGCCAGAAGATTAAGTATCTCTTTATTTGTGTACCGGATAAGTATATGTAACTTCACAAGATCACATCACATTTTTCATTTTAACACACTTGTGGTTAACGCACTGTGCAATTCCTTTACAACTTTTTTATTCTCAAAACCTTCTGACTTTAATTTCATGAAATAATAACCTCATCCTTGTGAACCTTTAACTTTATTTTAATAAATAAAGGAACATTTTTCTCTTACAGTGGACCTAATACTCTTCACAACTTTAGTCTGGGGATTCGATTTTTTTTTTTTTATCCCTATCCCTAATACTCGGTCGTAATAATTATACAATCACCAGGTTTAGGGAATTTCCTCTTAAAACTTACCAGGTTGACACTTTGTGTTCGATCCAATGGCTTTAGCGTAACAGTGTCCACTAGAAAGAAGAAGGAGGAGAATCAGTGGACAAACCTGCAACAAAAACAAATATGAGTACATGTCCAGTGATCCCTAATCTCCTTATCCTGCATGTTTTTGGATTGTACGAGAAACCGGGAGTACACGTAGAACACTCAGGGGAACGTGAAAACCCCGTACTGAAATACCATCTGTGACCACCGGGGCTCGAACCTTTGACCTCTTTGCTGCCAGAAAAGACCCACCAAGTGACCCACTAGTGTTTGAGGTTCGTAGTTTTTCGTCACAACACAATGTGTAAGACTGCGTAGCACGTGGGTGCATACATTTCCTCTGGCATTACTGAGTCATTTGACAAACACTAATGGTTGCCTTGGTAAAGTCCCTTTGTAGTTGGTGGCAAGCAGTGTCAACATCAAACACAAACACCTTCCTATAGATAATAATCACAATTTAAATTACCACTAGGTGAGTCACTGAGAGCGGCACTTAGTCAGTGTGTGTTCTAATTTGGTTTTTCAATATTGTAAAAATGCAGTCCTGTTCTATATTGTATCATAAGTATAAATTCAATGTAGTTGTGTATACATATATACCCCTCCATTTTTTTAGATGAATAGTCTTAATCCTATTTTAATTCCAATTTATAAAAAAATATAAAATTATAAAAAAAAAATATAAAAACTGCAAAGAGACAAATGTGTACTTTGTTTAAGTTGTTAATAATGGGTTTGTAATCTTGAAATATGGTTCTTGATGTACTGTGCTCAGCTGAACGTGTAGACCATTGTGTCTGTATTTTAATATATTTTAATATTGGTCATACTGGTGGTGCACAAGTATACTCACACAGCAATTAGAACCATAACACTATAAACCTTTGAATTGAAGTTCAGGGTGTGAGAAAAGGTGTCAGCTGAAATATGTCACCTAACAACATCCTGGCAGAAGAAACATAAAGAAAACTTGAAAATGGTAAAACCAAATTGTGAAATATTTATTTTAGTCTACAAATACTGTATATATAAGTGGGGGCCCACAAGGTGCCCATGGGGTATGATTTAAAAATAAAACTTGTCAACAAGAGGGTCAAAAATTGTACTGTTACTGTGCTTTTTGGAATTAGTTACACCTGTAATGATATACAAATGGGTGCAATGACGATGGTAAGAAGAGTGTCTGCTATTGTATGTCCCAGAACTGATTATTATTACATTGTTCAGGATGTCTGTATTAAACAAGTTATTCTTCGAATTACTAAGTGCCCTTGAAGTAGCTCTCAGTTCAAAAAGGTTGGTGACCCCTGCTATAGATGAACTACGTAGTAAAATGTATTAGTTACCAAAGCCCTGTGAAGGAATGGGGCGTGAGGTTGCAGCATCCAAAAATCTACTTTTGCTGTACAGACATTTTCAATAAAATAAAATAAAACGTGATTTTAGACTCTTTTGTACTACAACAGTGTCAAATTTGTTTACTTACCATGATGACGGATCAGACTGAGAAGACACCAATGTTCAGAGGTTGGTACAGACACGCCCTTAATCCAGCAGCACGCAGAGGCATTCTGACATCACGTACTTTTTTGAATTCCTTTTAAAGATGAATCGAGGTGTGTGTGTGTGTGTGTGTGTGTGTGTGCGTGTGTGTCACAACCGTCAGTTCAGTGGTGCTACATGAAACAGGAAATACACAGGTACCAGTATCTCACTTTCATGTGCAAACACACATACTCACACACATGCACACACAAAACATACACAGTGTATTCTCTCCACTGTGGCTGTGAGTACACAGCAGTTCCGTCTGTGCTCTGTCTTCACTGTGATTATTTGGACCAAACTTCACAGTCAGAGAGAGCGGCACCAGTGCATCTCCGTACTGTTGTGTCCACACTGCGATTACACACCTGTAATGCTGAAACTTTGATGAAAAGTATGAGAAAATACCAAATACATTTTCACATATGAAGAATTTGACTTAGAATATCAGTGCATTAGAATGAAATAAGATGAGGAAAATAAAGGTACAGAGCCTTAGATATGAAATATAATATAATTTATACATGGTACAAACAATAGTAAAAGTAAAAGTGTTGGTGTTTCTGACATTACTGAAAATCTCTGAATAACCAACATTGATGTTTTGTTGGTTTAATCACAGTGTGTAACTGACAGTGTGTCAGCTGAAACACGTTTTAGTAGCATTTACAGGTCAGTTGTAAAACTTCTGTGACTGTAGTTTCAGCGGCCACACCTTTTTTTTCTCTGGATTAGTTTACAGATTTCACTCCACCCAAGTCAAAATTAAATCATTACTTACATTCAGTTGTGGGCCTGTTCTGGTGGATTTGTAGGCTGGAGGTTGTCCCTGGGCCAGGAGTTGGGCTTCCATGCTCTAGGCATTAAGATGCATTTAAAAAAGTAGTCATGTAAATGAATGTGCCTTACTATGGTCTTGAATAATTATTATTAATAATAATGATAACTTCAGTTCCTTTTTCCTCCAAACATGAAATGTCAAATTAAGGTCAAACTACACCGCTGACGAATTATGTCTAAGGCTGCATCCCGTGCAACCATTACCCTCCTGCCATTCTCATTCAGTCATACAGTGTGTCTCATATTATACTGCTTGTTCTCTATATATAACTCTCTATACAACATTAAAGAACTGGCAGAAATTGGGGTAAATGCCCCTTAACAACTAAACAGTAAAGAAATAAACACTACAAACAATATCCTATATACAGTATGTGTGTGTGTGTCTTTTGTTTCTAGGCTTTTTTTAGATTTTCAATTTGAATATACTTTCCAGATATTTCCATCACTCGCCCAGTTTATAAAACTGTAACTGACTCAGAGTGAGCATTATTTACCTTAGTAAGTATATAGCCCAAAGCTAGCACATGGCCGTTTTAAATTTTGTATTTAAGCAGAAAAAAACAAACAAAACAAACGTATGGAGTTAAACCAGAGAATGATAAATGGCACTATATATTGTATATATAACTGTTTTCGTATATATATTTTTTCTAGCATTATTTGTTGCTGCTGAACTCTGTACACATTTTCACAGCACTAAAAAGCACTTTAACTGGTTACTCCATGACTTGTCCCTATTTAAACACGAAGCTTATGCCATTTTAGGATGTCAGGATTTAACGGTGCAGCATCGAAACGATGCCGAGGAGCTGTTGTTAAATTCATCACGATGGCTGTGCCCAGTCCAAGAAACGTCATAAAAGTAGGTCATTGAGCAAAAAAACACGCAGAAGCGATAACACTAGCCCAATATTTCCGCGTGTGTCCGTGCATTTATCAAGATCTGCAACGGCACCCAGAAGTGAACGAAGCGACCCGGAAGCGCTGGTGGTCCGACTGGAGGCAGGCAGAGAGAGCAAGCTTTTTTATATTATAGCTCTGTACTCGCAAGACAATATCTGCAGCCAGGACACAAAGGTATTTGTGCATGTCTTTTTAGCTCTTCGCTGCTGTGCATGTCTGCGATCGGTGCTAACGCTCCTGGATGCGTGCATTGTGCAGAGAAATGCAATCGCTGCCCTTTGATTCGCTCAAAAGTTGCAGGATGTGAAAAAAAAACATCCCTTAAAAGTGAAATGTACCGAAGATGGCATAGCGTTTTACGTGAGACGAGGCTTTGTGTGTGGCCGCCCGTGCTTTGACCCTGAACGCATCAGTAGGGGTTGTTTTAATGATCGATGCGGCGTTTAGGGTTGAGCCTGCATCTTGTCTGTTTCCGTGGCTTTTTTTCCACAGAGAAGCATGGTTGTTGTAGGAAGTGTCAGGTTTTTTTCAGAGCAGGGGAGGCCGGGCTATTCAAACCTACTATTCGGCCGTAAACAATCCTTCATGCCTTTCACTCGATAAACACATTTTGTCAATCCGTCGGCCGCGTCCTCGTTCGACGACAATCGAGTCACGTCTACGCGCTCCTAAATTTTTTGGAGGGGGTCTGCAGAATATGGCGTCCCGCCTTATAAAAATAAGGCTGCCATTTTTGTTTCCCTTTTGTCTGGAAATGTTTTAAGAAAACTGTCTGAGAATGTCTGGGTCGCAGCGGGGAGGGTGGATCCGCGTTTGAGCTCCCGTCAGAGTCGGTCCAGAGGTTTAAAATCACAGACCACACGGCACGTTCACGAAAAGTCAAAGGATTGAGAGTAAAAAAGAAGAGAAGAAAACAAAAACTACCTTGTGGGTTCATGTGAACGTTTTAAAATCCAATGTCACACAAAAGGAGCTGAGTACGGAGAAGCTCAACGATTGTACCACACTCTTTTAAGATGAGGCATTTAGATCTGAGATTAGTTGATTAATCAATACGTAATTGCTTAATGTATTATTGACAACTCTTTTCAGTTGTTGGTTTTAATGAGCCTAATTTAATGAAGTTAAAAGAAATAAAAACATTCACCATGTGATGAATCCCTAATATAGAGATTAATGACAGTGTACGTACATTGTACAGATGCCGTTGGTTAAACTGAAGGGTCAGGAGTTTGATCCCCAGTGTGTGTAAACAAGAAATGGAAGCAGCACTCTTATTCCACTACTTTTGGAACTACATTAGAATGAATGGAAGCCGCAGGGAAAATTTATCTGCAATTAACATGGCTTGTTGTACACCGCATTGTGGTGTCATATATATGTATATGTCATATAACAACAATTAACATGTTGTGATCCACTCACGACAACAATTTAAAGGCATGCAGATGTTGACTTCTATTTTTTAAAATAATTTATTGATCAAGGTATATTCAAAACGCCAATACTTTTACAGATATTACAAGTACATGCAACCTGATTATTGGAATATGCCAAATTTGAAAGCATATAACCTTAATGTCAACCACTGACATCAGACAATTCTGATGAGTTGACTAATAAATGTTCTCAACATGGGTATATATTAACAAATATTAATGTAAGGCCAACCATTTAGATGTTATTAAATAGAATTTGCTGAATGGCCATTATTTAATTTAGATAAAATAGCCATGAGATTAAATAAAGCAACATTTTTATATGGAGGTGTCAGTCTAAAATGAATTCTTTTTATGTATGTTCTACTATTTTAAACATTTAATTCTGTTCTTTATTATGTATGAATGAACCACTGGAACAGAAGAAAAATGTTATAGTAAACATTGCAATAAAACAAAATCTAAGGTGAATGTGCTGGAAAATGATGAATGGTGCTTTATGCTGATTTAGAGCATACGAAAAAGTGCTTACACCAACACAAATCTGAGGTGTGTGACATACTGAGTGCTGTTTAATGCTGATCTCACCCACACAGTGGAACAACAGCTAATGTGGAAAAAAAATGAATGTACATGAATGTTTCTTTCAGGATGGCAGAGCCTCGGTTCAACAACCCGTACTTCTGGCCCCCGCCTCCATCCATGCCAGGCCAGGTAAGTTCATTTAATAAGATACATTTGCTGCTACAGCTCCACATTTCTTTGCTGTTTCTTCCATGTGTGAATGTCTTTTCAGCCACTCAGCACCTGTTTCCGTCATTGAAACAATTTCTCAATATCAAGTCTTTTTCTTAGATTGAAACTCATTTAAAAAAAATAAATCTTTATGCTGATCAGTTTTTTTCTGTTTTTAGATGAGATTTTTTTTATATATGGCATGAATGACATTCACACACGGTGGCTGTTTTCTGTTGAGCATGACCCGTTAACCCTTTCAGCTGGATAACCTGGTGCTCATTAACAAGATAAAGGAGCAGCTGATGGCTGAGAAGATCCGACCCCTGCACCTGCCACCTACCTCCAGCCCTTCCCAACAGCCTCTGCTAGTGCCCACCTCGTCCCCAGACACTAGCAGCCCACATGGCATGTCAGTGCAGGTGCCCAAGCCCCAGCCGCAGCAGGTGCAGGGTCACCACACGCAGCCACAGGGCTCTGGACAGCCGGACATCGCTCTGCACGCTCGCCCCGCCTCCAGCTCCGTACCAGGTAGCTGTAATTATTTTTAGAGCAGGCTGAGTCTACTGTGTGTCAGGACATTTTTAAATACAGAGCCAAGGTGAAACTAACATTCAGCTATGAAACTGAGAAAGCGATAAAATTTGTCACAGTGTCATATTTGATGTTAATATCTTTTGATCAGAAATTGTGTTGTTAGATCAGTAAACTCTGACAATTTTAGTCTGCGTTTTATCTTTGCCCTACTGTTAAATACCCCAAGGGAAACCACTCCTTCTGCGATACTTGAGACTATATTTAAGTCCAGCACTTACGCATTGTCTGTTTTAGTTATTGCATTCCTTTGTTAAAGTGATAACATAAAATGCAAAACAAACATTTTCTCATACACTTTAATAAAAAAAAATTGGATAATATTGGCTAAAGTTATTTAAACTTATTAATTAACATGAGCATCTAATGACTTTCAGAGGGATCTATGGATGACAAGTCAGCAGTGAAGGCCAAAGGATTGTGGGAAGACTGGCACATGAGGCAGCTTAGTGAGCAAGCTGGACGGATCAACCATCGCTCAGGTACTCTAGTCACTATAGTCTGTGGTCATAATGGGGGAGTGAGTGGGGGGGCACCACCGGTGTTGCTAGGATCAACTCTTATGTCTGATTTAAGGTATGACAATTTCTAAGAATGTAAAGAAAAAACAACAAAAAGTTGCTCTACTTTGTATTCATATTTTTAATCATCCTGGACTGCAGACTAGCTGGTCGAGCACATGATCTTTATCTAAAATCAAGCATATTTGCCTTGATACACCCTGCCCGCAATAGATCCACGCACTTTTATATATGTAAAAAATATATATTCAAGTACTGTGTGCTGTACATCATGGTGTTGTGGTTCTCACCACTACAGCTCTGGCTCCTTCATCCCGGCCTGACAGCCACAGTACCTCAGAGGCCCTGACTCCTACCACTCCAACCTCCAGCAGCCAGAACCGTCTTGGTGGTGCCCCCTCCGTCAACATCATTTCTGGGCTGGCTAGCGGTCCTGGCATGGACCACATGAAGGCTGGAGGACTGGCAGGACTTCTGGGCCCCCCGCCAAAGGCACCCAGGGGACGGAAGAAGATAAAAGCTGAAAATCCCTCTGGCCCCCTGCTGGTGGTGCCGTACCCAATCCTGGCTGACCAAGGTTGTGTCACTGTTGCACCTAAAGAGGGAAAAACCTACAGGTTAGAGCTGAATCAGAGAATCGTTTGCAGGTCAAACTGCAGCCTGACTTGGTCATGCCTCTGAATTGTGTCTTTTCTTTGGTCCACAAAGATGCAAAGTGTGTCCGCTCACCTTCATGACCAAGTCCGAGATGCAGATTCACTCCAAGTCTCACACCGAGGCCAAACCCCATAAGTGTCCCCACTGCTCCAAGACATTCGCTAACGCCTCCTACCTGTCCCAGCACCTGCGCATTCACCTGGGAATCAAACCCTATCACTGCTCGTACTGCGAGAACTCTTTCCGTCAGCTGTCACATCTGCAGCAACACACCAGGTCAGTCCAGGGCTGTTGGTGGGCGGGCGGGGCGGGGGGATTCACCTGGCAGGACGTTCTAAAGCGACAATAGAGAATGTGTAGCATCGCTATGACCTTGACCCTGTCCTTAATGGGTTCCAGTGACTCTTTAATGCAAATCTCATTATAAAGCTATCTAACAGTGTTGCTCCATCAAAGCTCTGTCTCACAGAATCTGAATTTCTGTGATCATTGTTTTCATTGCCATGTTATTTCTGTCAATGTGGCAGTTTGATTATACTAATGCTACTCTTCTGGTTATATAAAAGGGTTTAGATACTTTTTTTATTAACTTGCGTAGCATTGTTACATATGTTTTATTTCATCTATTTTAAAAGATAGGTTATGTCTGTTTTTGGCTAACATTTTTTGATACCAGACAAATCTGATACCACCTGTGCTACTTTTCTGGATAAATAATGATTTTAGATACATTTTATGAACTTTTATTGGCAGTATTACATTTTTTTATTAGCTACACTCTTTTGTCTCTTTTTGTCTTTCCCAGCATTTTCTACTAAAATATTCCTAAAATATTCCTCGTCTCTCTCCTTGTTAAGTCACGATGGCGTTACCCTTTCAGTAGACCTGACCTAATTTGTGTGTTTCTCCTGCCTCAGAATCCACACTGGGGATCGGCCCTATAAATGTGCTCACCCTGGATGTGAAAAGGCTTTTACCCAGCTGTCTAACCTCCAGGTTTAGTACATCTTTACACCAGTTTAACCAAATAATTATCGTGCTGTGCTGTGCTAACCCAGTTTGTGTTCCTTCTCCAACAGTCTCACCAGAGGCAGCACAACAAAGACAAGCCGTACAAATGTCCTAACTGCTACCGTGCCTACTCAGATTCCGCATCTCTGCAGATCCACTTGTCAGCACACGCCATCAAAAACGCTAAGGCCTACTCCTGTAGCATGTGTGGCCGCGCCTACACCTCAGTGAGTGACGCTTCTCCATCTCTGCGCTTCTGATCAACCTGATGACCTTTCAGTAGAACTGTGGGGCTAAAAGCAGCCAGTTCCTGTTTGTGAGATCTGTCAGCATGTTTTGCTCCTTCTCAAAAACATAAAGTTTTAAACTTAGTTGTTGAGCAAAAATAGGAGATGAATTGTTTTCACTACTGTGAAAGTACTTTCTTTTGGTTAAATTAGAATATTTCTATTCACTGGATGTGGGTTTGTGTACATTCAAATTGTTGGGTTTTCCTGCAGTGATCATCTGAAAAAATGATCAGTGTTTTTCATAATCATGGAATTTTTCTTTTAACAATTTCTGGGTTGCTGTTTTTTTTTTCCATATTTAGACATTTTTTATTTTTGTCTTTCTATCCAGTTTAGCTTTTATTTGTCTTTATTATTATTGAACCATATTTACACTATTTAATGTTTTGTACTAGCTGTGATGTTTGACTAGATGTTTTTACTACTATGTTCAACCCTAGGTCACGTTTTGCAAATATATCTTTTGTGTTTTCTAGTAATTTGTTAAAAAACTTAAATGAATTGTTGTGCTCATGCTTTAGCCAGTAAACACATTTACAAATTGATGAAGTGTCTAAAATGACCATGTTGTGTTTTTCACCTGTGTGTGTGTGTTTATAGGAGACCTACCTAATGAAGCACATGTCCAAACACACGGTGGTGGAACACCTAGTGAGTCACCAGTCACCACAGAGGACCGAGTCTCCCAGCATCCCCATCCGCATCTCTCTCATCTGAACTCCACTCCTTCAGAGTTTGGCCAGAGATCATCAGGCCCAGCACCTATGACCAACTTATGGCACCAGGACAGCTGACATACAGTGCGTTCGAATCAATACACGTTCTTGTTACGTTGCAATCTTCACCTTAAAGGCAGTCTGTGTGTACTGGTGAAGATTATAAAACAAGGAGCAGAAGCAGTTCAGTTGCCTCATTCAAATGTAACTTCTTAAGTAGGTCTAAAGAAAGACCTAGGGTAGTAATACCAGTCCCCAAACCTAGGGGTCAGCATCAGAGAAATACATACTGTGGTATGACCCAAGAGGTCAGGTTTAGTTGCATCAGCAAGGTTCGAAAACTATTCAATGCAACCTAAAACCTGCTTTATATATATATATATATATATATATATATACACACACACACACACACACACGTTCAGTTATTTAACACCCCGTCAACTTATTACCTTAATTTATGAAAACTTTGTGGAGTATATTGATTAAATATAATACTTAAGATGAAGTTTGCAACCTAACAAAGTGTGACCCGGCCCTTTCTGTGTGCAGTGTAAGCCCTCGGTGCTGGGTTCAGTTCACAGACTGCCTCCTTCGGTCCCCAACACGAGCACAGCGTTATATGGTGAATGTAACACAACAGATAAATGTTGTCCAGAGGACGGAGTGGTGAAAGATTGTCTTGCGTCAGACTTAACAAGCACTTTCGTAAGCGTCACATAAACTGCCGGATGCATTGGCCATCTAAAAAAAGTTTTAGTTAGTTCCTTTTTTTTTTCCCCATGAAATGGTTTCTGCAATGTGCCAGATGACATTTGCCCTTAAAAAAAAAGAATAGTTGAGAAAGTATAATTAAAGAAAATGTTTGCTGGGTGTATTTTGGAGACATCCAAAGATAATCTTAAAGCACTTTGAGGCCTTTGTGGATTTCGGCTTAAATTCTTTCAATCTTGTGCGATGGAAAATGCCAAAGGGCATTTGCTTGTGGCAGCTATGAGTATTGACTGTGTACAAAAAGAACAGTCTCTGTGTCACTGTCTTTGGTTTTACTCACATTTCTCTACGAGTTCGCCCGATAACAGGGTCATTGAATTTAAAGAAGCAATCGTTGGATGACAATTAGGAAATGTGATGATTGTGTTAAGGAGTTGCAAAGTTATAATAGGGAGGATACCAAACCTACTACCAGAAAAGTTGGTACACTTTCTAGGAATACAAGCAAAATCTCTCCGCTGGAGTTTGGTAATAAAGTCTGACCTGTATACACAGTATTAGGCACAAGAACAAAGAACACCTTCAGTGTTCAAGATATTTTAGAAACTGATACTTTGGAAGCACTGCGCTTTCAAAGAAGTTGGGACACGTGTTTTCAATGCTGCTAGATGTGGTGGAAATATTTTACTCATTCTTGCTGTACATAAGACCAGACCTCCTTGAACAGGGAGCGGTTGCTGTTGTGTGATTGTCTACTTTTTAATAGGAGACAGATCTGGACTGCAGGCAGGCCGGTCTAGCTCATGTACTAAATTTGCAGAAGGAGGTCTAGTTAGTCCTGCTGA